GAAAAACGCTGTCCAAAGCTGCCATTGTTTTCCAGAGGCCTCCGCTTCGAGACCCGCCGTAAATCGACATGAATCAACAGGAAGAACACAGTCAAAACGAGTGATACAGTAGTTTACTGTGTTGCTGTAAACCTGGAAAACAATCGCAGCTTTGGACAGCGTTTTTCCAGGAAATTACTCCTGGAAATCAACTTTGAACGCGGCATTCGTTTCTTCGAAAAATGTTTAGTTTTTTATTGATATTATCCAGATTTTTCAGCAAATTTTCATTGAATTGATTTTCAGATTTTCTTAATGCCTAATTTTTGTTCTTTTTTGAATCCATTAAATTAGACACCGCCGTTTGAAACGAGAGGGTGGCGCCCAGAAGAGACGCCGACAGTGTGGAGGTTTTTTCACTTTTTTTATGTTGACGCCCGTTTTTTCTCCAGTTTCTCACCGCTTTTTTTGTGTAAATTTTCTGACTATTTCTTTTTCAATTTTTACCTAAATTTAAGATTTTTTGCGATTAAAAACGACTAAATTTAGGCATTTTTAGGCCTTTCAGAGCCTTTTTTCATTAAAATCTCTGAAATTCTCTCGAAAAATGTTTTTTTGCGAAAATCGCGATAAATCGTTCAAAAATGGCTCTAAAGCTCATTTTTTACAGTAATTTTGTAATTCGTGCCGAAACCCTTCTCATAAATAGGCAATGTCCCTTTAATTTTCTACCGTAGTATTTTAGCGATTTTTTGAAAAATTGTTTTTCTTTGCTTTTTTCCAGTATTCTTCGGATCTAAAAGCTAAAAATGTATTATTTTTAGGTCCCAAAATGTCAGAAAACGCGAGAAACGGTGGAATTCAGAAATGTGAAGAAAATATCAGCGAAAAAAAGAAAAAAGTCGAGAAATTTCCAATACTAAAGCTACCGGATCTGGTTCGAGAGATGGTTATCAGGTTGATGGACCCTGTTGAGATGTGAGTTTAGAGAAAAAAGAATTGCGAAAAAAAAGAAATTTGCAAAAAGAAATTTTTTTCAAAGAATTTTTTTCTTCAAAAATCTCAAAATTTTGCAGCTTCGACTTCTCGCAAACGTCCAAACGGATGCATCGAACTGTCAAACGCTCCTGCCGTCATAAAACCTATCACCTCCACCTCCAAGCCAGCCTTATCTATCAAGCAGCGTTATATCCCCCAACATACCCGGCAATTCCAGCAGAACCAGCCAGATTTCGGTTCCAATCTCTGAATGGCGAAACGGAGAGAGATCCCAAATATGATAGACACGTTGGAAATTTTCAGAAGATTCATGCCAATTTCCAGGAAGAAAAAGGACTCTATTTCTTCCATAAATCCCACTGGGAAATCACAAAGGAACTGATAGCGGAGCTCCAAAATCTGATGAATATCAAATTTCAACAAGTCAGAATTTTCCTTGATGGAATTGAGAATCGGGACCATAAACCTCTTATAGAGTGGCTGAATACCTTCCCAAATGGAATCAAATTGTCTTACATCTACGGAGACTTGGTCTCCAATGAGAATATGGTGGATTTGATGCAAAACTATCAATGCAGAGATACTCTGAGATTCTACGGGCGGCTCAGAGGATTTCAAATTGATCCACTTCCCCTGAAAGCCACTGATCTGAGAATTGACTATACTCATTGGATGACTGTGGAAAATGTGCTTCAGATGGATAATGTGGTGGCGTTTAAGCTGGGAAATGCTCAGCATTTCACTGATGTAGATTATAATGTGATTCTAAAGGCCATCATCTCTGGAGCTCTTCCGAAAATGGTTTATGTGCATTTGGAGCTGAAAAGGAGATATGATAGGGATGTGATTTGTCAGGATATTCCATTGATACAAGAGAATAGTGAGAGATTGTTTAGGTGAGGACTTTTGAACGCTTTTTCTGGGGGGAAAATGGCTTTTTGAACCATTTCAATAAAAAAAACTGCAAAAAAAGCTGAAATTGGCTGAAAATCTCACCGAAAATTCATAGAAAATACCGATTTTTAAATTGGATTCTTAAGATAAAAAATGGCACTGAAAACTCGAAAAATGGCTCAAAAATCGCCAATTTACAGTCATAAAAGACCCCAAAAATAAGTGAAAAAGCTCAAGTTGTGATAATGTCTGGGAGGAAAAAATCGCGAAAATCAATAAAAAAGTCAGATTTTTCTCTGAAAACTCGCAAATTTTTCTCATAAATCTCCGATTTTCAGTGTTCAAAGTGTGACTAAAATCCGGAAATTAATGAAAAAAATTTGCGAATTTTCAGTAAAAATCTGATTTTTTTTTGATTTTCGCGGTTTTCATTCCAGAAATTGTGATAGTTTTATCTTTTTCACTTATTTCTCGGGTCTTTTTTAACTGTAAATTCTCGATTTTTGAGTTGTTTTTCGAGTTTTCAGTGGCATTTTTTAGCTAAAAAACCTGATTTTTAAAAATCCAAAAAAAGGATTTTCTATGATTTTTTGGCCGAATTTTCGGACCTTTTTAGCTTTTTCAGCTGTTTTTTTCCGGTTTTTATCTGCAATTTAGCGGGACAGTGTTCGAGAAGATTACTGTAGATAAATGTAGTTTCTTCCCGAGAACACAATCGCAAACGCAGATAAAAATATGTGGAAAAAAATCTCGCAACTTCTACAGTAATCTGCAACGAACACCGTCATGTGGTCGAACTTCAGACAAAAAAACTGGAAAAATAGCTGAAAAACCTGAGAAGGACTAAAAATTTCGCCGCTAAAAAATTTCAAAATCACAGAAAATCCCCTTTTTTATTTGAATTTTAAAAAAAGCAAAATTGATTTTTTAGATGGAAAATTACACTGAAAACTCGAAAAGTAACTCAAAAGTCAACAGTTTACAGTTTTAAAAAAACTCAAAAATTGCTGAAAATGCTGAAATTATGACAATTTTTCCAAAAATGTCGATTTTCGAAAAATAGTCAAAAATTCAATTTTTCGGAAAATCCGTCTGAAAACTCGAAATTTCAGACAGATTTTGACAATTTTCGTGCCGCTCAAACGCGTTTTTCAGCCAAAATTTCAGTTTTTCCGCCGATCTTCAGCACAATTTCAGAGAGAAAAATCGAAAAAAAAATCAGAATTTCCAGTTTTTTGCTCAAAAAAAAAATAATATATTTATTTGCAATGCATGGGGGAAATCGATTTCGAAAAAATTGAAAATTTTGGACCAAACAAAAAGTGAAAAATCCATTTTTCACCTCAAAATTCAATTTTCCAGCCGCTACGACAAACCACACCCCGATATCGGTGGATTCCATTTCAATCTGGACAACGGAGACCTGGGGTCCATCTTCTTTTATATGAATGCAAGACCAGGACAGCCATCGACAGATATTGGAATTATTGTCTGGAGACCGGATGCTTGAATTCTAATTTGTTTTGAAAAATCATTTTTTTTTCTAATTTTCTTATATATTTTTTCGACTAATATGTTTATTTATTTGGGTACTTATCCATCCTAGAATTTTCCAATTTTTTGTATCTATTCATTGATCTAACCTCCAAGAAAGTGTGTTTTGTGATTTTCGACTAATTATGTCAATATTTATTGACTTATTAACCTCCTAAAAAGATGTTCTGTCCCTTTAAAGGAGGAAATTTTGCCTCCTGGGAATCTATTGACTCATCCCGGTGTGAACAGGTGTGTTAAAGGTTCGTTTAATCAATAAACCCTTTTTACCCCTCCGGAATTCCTCAGAAAACATTTATTCTTTGCTATTAGCTATGTCTCGTTTGCCAATTCTCCGTCTCCCGGATCTTGTACTTGAGGAAGTGTTCAAGGAGATGGATCCATTCAAATTGTGAGTTTTATAATTGTTAATATCGGTTTTTATCCATTTTCTTCTCACAAAAAATCGCGAAAAATCAATTAAATTTGCCGAAAAATCGAAAAAAAAATAGGCCAGAAAAATCTTTTGTAACCTTTTTCTAAACATGAAACTCCTGAAAAATCGCATAAAAATCGTCTAAAAACATCAAAAATTATCAAAATATGGAAAAAATAGGCCTTTTCCAAATTTTTCTTAACAAAAATCGGCAAAAATGCCAAAAAATTACATGGATAATATATATTTTTTTTTCGATTTTTGAGCAATTTTTGTTTAGAGAAATCGGAGAAATAACATTTAAAAAAATGAAAATTATTGAAAAAGCGATATTTCATTCCAGAAATTACCACATTTTCAGCTTTTTCAGCGTATGTTTTGAGTATTTTTTTTTTGACTGTAAATTGTCGATTTTTGAGTCATTTTACCTGAAAAATCCAAGTTTAAAAGAGGATTTTCTATGATTTTTCGGCGAAATTTTAAGCTTTTTCAGCTTTTTTGAATTGAAATTCGACGGTGTTCGTTGGAGATTACTGTAGGATTGTTCGAAGTTTTTCCACAATTTTTATCCACATTTTGACGTCATTGTGCTCTTGGGAAGAAACTACAGTAACCTACAGTAATCCTCAACGAACACGGTCGAACTTCAGACAAAAAAAATCTGTAAAAATCGAAAATTAATCTCAAAAAATAGCTGAAAAACCGAAAAAGGTCTGAAAATTTCGCTGAAAAATCGACGAAAATCCCCTTCTAAATTTGGATTTTTTAGCTAAAAATGCCACTGAAAATTCGAAAAATATCCCAAAAATCGGCAATTTACAGTCAAAAAAGACCCAAAACATAAGCTAAAAAAGCTGAAATTATGACAGTTTCTGGAACGAAAAATCGCAATAATCAAACAAAAAAAATCATATTTTTCTCTGTAAATTCTCAACATTTTCTCATAAATTCCCGGAGTTTTAGTGTTCAAAATTGGTTTTTTTTCGATTTTTGTACGAATTTCATGGATTTTGACAACTAAAAATTCGAAAAATCGCATGAAAACCATCAAAAATTATTTTTTTAAAAAGATTTTTTGACGTATTTTATCGATTTTCAGCTATTTTTTAAGCCGAAAAATCGCAAAAAACAATGAAAATAATTGAAAAAATAGGCCAAAAACTATATTTTTCCAGAATCGAATTCGCAAAATGCTCGAAACGCCTTCATCCAATGATCAGACGCATTGGCAAGAAATTCGAGTTATCAGTGGACCTCTACTGCAAACAAATCAACATCTACACCCCAGACAAACGTCAGTGGCCAGTTTACTTCTATTCGTTGGAGAGCGAGCAGGAGAATGCGAAATTCGTGAAGACCGAGTGCCCGACAAGGGATATTTGCATCCATCTCTTCGAATTTCTGCTTTACTTCGGATGCCGCAAAATTCGCCACTTTGAGACTTGTCCAGAGACCATTTTCAACACTTTGCCAATTGTTAAACTCTTGGTTCATTTCAAATGCTCGGTGAAAAATGTGACTTTCCGTATGTACAAAACTGAAGGAGACGTCTTCAAGGAGATTCTGAGCAGCTTGAAAGTCACCGATATGCTCAGCATCGGAGCAGCTGTCGAGTTCCCACCAACTTTCGAATTTAAATTCGTTTTTTACCCGAAATTCCTGTACATCCAAAACTCGCACTGGATCAAGATGGATCAACTATTCAAAGCTGCCAATCGCTGCCTCAAAATTTCATTGAAAAAGTCTAGCCTCACCAATGAAGACCTGGATCGATTCCTGAGAAGATGGCAATCTGGAAAGCTTCGTAGAATGAAAATGTTCTATTTTACGGTGCAAGGCAAGCAAATCAATGATAAATCTACAATTTTCGATATGGAAATTCCGATCAAATCGGAGGATGATAAATGTGTCCATGAAAGGTGAGCTATTTAGTTGAGCTAGCTCACTAGCTCCTTGGCTTAGAAAAGTAGTTTTCTGACTAATTTAATCGTTTTGTTTCTTCCAGAGACCACGAAGGATATCAGGAAACCGTGAGAAGAGGTGTCGTGTTCAAGAATGTGGAAGGCCAGAGGGCAGTGATCCATTTCGATCCACCTCGAAGCAGTGCGTTCAGCTTTATGCTCCTAGACTAATTTTTTTTTCTGTCAATTCTTTTCCCTATATATTCGCGCCCCTCGTTTAATAATTACCTAATAAACCTTCTGATTCTATCATCTTAAACCTATACAACCTCACATAACGAAAACTATTCATTGCGGAGGCTTATTATACTGTTTTGAGATCTTACAAGCAATAAGAGACACACAGAAAATGAAAGTTATTTAGATTAGAGAGCATCTATCTGCTGGCGATGTTGACGCGGAGTTGTCTTCCGTTGAAGTCGGCTCCGTTGAGCTCGTTGACGGCTCTTTCAGCGGATTGCTGCTCGGAGAACTCGACGAAGGCGAATCCTCTTGGACGTCCAGTTTCGCGGTCAAGGACGATTCTGAAAAATGAGGTAGAATAATAGAGAACAGAGAACCCGCAAGTTGAAAATTTTCAGGGAAACGTGGGTGAAGCCTAAATTGCAATGTGCTAAACACCGTGCTATGGTTGCAATTTGGGCTCCGCCCACTTTTCCCAGGAAAACTTTCCCCGGAATTTTCGGGGTTTCCGAGCACACCGTGAGGCGCTTGTCGGCAAACTAGAGAGCGCTAGAGAAGAAGAGACGCAGCATTTTGCTCACGGAGCAACAAAGAAGACAAGAATGCACGCTTACCTGACGTTGGTGACGGTTCCAACGGAGCTGAAGAAGTCTCCCATCTCCTGCTCGGTGGTCTGGTATGGAGCGTTTCCGACTGAAAAATGTTTTTTTGAAAAAATGATTTTTTCTTTAAAGTTTTCTGTGTTAAGCTAATAGTCGAAATTTGTTGACCGAAAAAGAAGAAAGGACTTTTAAAAATCAGAAAAAAAACGAAATTTTAGGCCAAAATTATTTTTTCTCGGAATTCTACCTAATTTTCAGCCAAATCTACTCAAAATCAGTCTGAAATTCATTCTAAATATTCGTACTAACCGTAGATAGAGAATCCTGATCCAGACATGACGATTTAGGGACGAACAGTTGAGTTGTGTCTGAAAATTCTCCAGAAATCTGTCGTTGCCAGGCGACAAAGCAACCGTGCCGCACTTGCAAACGAAACCGTGCCAGGGTTGCGGATGACCTAATTTGAATTTTCGATTGATTTTCGGCCTATTTTTGGGGTTTTTGCAGGAATTTATCCGGAATTTTGGCTGTTCAGATGAGGAAAGCTACTCCCGAGTAGATTCTCGACCCAAAATAGATAACACAGATGAAAAACTATCAAAAACTATTCATTAGGGTGGTTCATTATCTTTTGAGATCTTACAAGCAATAAAAAAACGCGTAAAATGAAAGTTATTCAACTGATATAGCACAGAAGCTGCTGAATTTATCTGGTGGCGAGGTTGACGCGAAGAGATCTTCCGTTGAAGTCGGTTCCATTGAATTGCTCGACGGCTCTGTTGGCTCCGGCCTCCTCGGCGAACTCGACGAAGGCGAATCCTCTTGGGCGTCCGGTTTCGCGGTCAAGGACGATTCTGAAAAATGAGGTGTTGATCGGCAAACTAGAGAACGCGAGAGAAGAAGAGACGCAGAGATTGAGGCAGTCACTCTTTTAGCTCGCGGAGCAAGACGGAACGGAGACATACTTACCTGACGTTGGTGACTTCTCCGGCGGTGGCGAAGAAATCTCCCATCTCCTGCTCGGTGGTTTGGTATGGAGCGTTTCCAACTGAAAAGGAATTTTTTGCTAACAAAATAATTTTTAGGCAAAAATCCCAAAATTTTATATTTTTAACTTGAAAACTGAGCGGATATCCGGCATAATTAGTTGCAAAACTCGAGGAAAATTCGTATACGTCGCCGAGAACTTCGAAAAAATGGAAAAATCAAAATTTTAGGCCAAAAATATTTTCTCTTCGAAATTCTCCTTGATTTTCAGTCAGATCAACTCAAAACCACTCTGAAATACATTCTGAATATTCAAACTAACCGTAGACAGAGAATCCTGATCCAGACATGTCGATTTTAGGACGAACAATTGAGTTGTGTCTGAAATTCCACAGAAATTTGCCGTTGCCACTCGACCGGATAACCGTGCCGCACTTGCAGATAAAACCGTGCCAGGGTTGCAGATGACCTAATTTGAATTTTTCAAAATTATTTTTTTTTGCCAATTTTCGGCGGAATTTTGCACGTATTCACGAAAGGTTTCCATCCATAAGCCTAGTAAATGATTAAGATTCAAATCCCCACCCCCATCTAACAATTTCAATAACAAACAATTTATGACATATTTAAGAGATTTATTATTCAGACTTTTTTGATGACAAGATGTTATGTTACAAGAAGAATATAAATAAGGAAGCATGCACGCGAAATATATTTTAGGTGGAATGTATATCACAAGTGCAGGGAGAAATCTCTGAGTGTCGATGATCATCGGGGCGCTTATTTGTTGGCATAGTTGACACGGAGATTGCGTCCGTTGAAGGACGCTCCATTGAGTTGCTCAACGGCTCTCTGGGCTCCAGCCTCATCGGTGAACTCGACAAAGGCGAATCCTCTTGGACGTCCGGTTTCGCGATCAAATACGATTCTGGAATGAAGAGCTTCGAATTCTGTTTCCTAGTGAATTTGTTACCCACCTCACATTGTTGACAACTCCAACACTGCTGAACCACTGTCCGATCTCCTCCTCGGAAACCTGATATGGAACGTTTCCGACTGAAAAGATAATAGATTAAAATCTCAACCTAAATTCTGAAGAAACAAAAAAGAAAGTTAGGAAACTCTCACAATGCACGCTTACAGAGCAAATGCACCCTACACTAGCCTAGACTACGGAGACTGAAAAACGGTTGGGAGTCTCATCACCATTATTACTTTTTCCGGCTTCGGCTGGGTATCCATATATTCCAAGTTCCAGATTGTTCATGTGATGGTCCCCGAGTCAGTTAGTGCTTATTCTCATTTTACTTTGTGGATGGATCTACCTGAAATATCGGTGTTTGTTTTCAAGGAACACAAGTGAACCATAGAGAACGAAGGCCGATTCGGAAACAAGGGGTAGCTTAAGACAGAGTCAGAGGGGGTTTTTGAGGTTTTGGATCGAAAATTGAAGGTTTTTGGTCGAACAAATTGATTTTTTCAGTCAGGATTTCGATTTCAGAGCAATTTCAGAGGTTTCTACTTACCGTAAACGGAGAATCCTTGAGCAGCCATCGGTTTTTAGAGGTTTTTTGAACGAAAATAGAGCGAAAGGCTAAAGGTGGCAGTCCTAAAACCGCTTTTGTTGACACGAGAAACCGTCGGCGGGTCTCGCCGCGACAACGCAGCGCTACGGTGGATTTGGTGTCGATTTACGGATGAGAGGCGAGGGAAACATGAGTCAGTGGAAAATGCATGATTTTTAGTGTTTTTTCTCGTTATTTTCCGTTTTTTCCGGTTAAATAATTGTAAAAATTGAGTTAAATTCGATATAAATAGTTGGGTTGCCCTTTATGAGTAGAAAAAATAGGGAAAAATCTATTTTTTGAAAATGAGAAAATTGATTTTCTGATTCAAATTAAGGGAAAAGCTAATTTTCAGTTACAAAATTGAAAAAATAACGGATTTTACAACAAAAAATTCAACAATGTTGTTTTTTTCCTCGATTTTCAGACCATTTTGATTCTTCAAGCTTAAAAATGCAAATTTCGTTTTTTTTAAAGTGAATTTTTTCAGCCATGCCACTAACAAAACGGGCGGTTTCGCCTGTTAACATCAGTCGAGACACGATTCCGCCGTCAATTCAACGCGATGAGCTTCAGTGTACCGCCAACGGAACCATCGCCAATTTGATTCGGCAGTTGAGCTCATTGAGGTAGGAAAATATGAGAAAATCATGTGAAAGACCAAAAAAATGGCCTAAAAAGCACTAAAAAGAGCTATAAAAATTGGAAAATATGTCTAGAAACCTTGAAAAAACGCGTAAAAAGTCTAAAAATAGCTATAAAAGTGGAAAAATTCATCCTTGAACCTGGAAATACCACCTATGTTTCAGCAAGCACGCGGAGAACATCTTTGGCGAGATCTACCACGACGCGATGGTCATTCATCACAAAACCAACACTCTCCAGCAAAGAATTGATAGGCTGCACCAGAAAGTGGATCAACTGGACGCCACAACTGATCAGGGTACGAAATAACTCGAAAAATCTAAGAAAATCTAAATTTTGACCCAAAAAATAGTGAAAAATCCAAATTTTTATCCAAAAATATGACTTTTTCCAGCCTCTCTCAACGAAGCGAACATGCGAAAAGCATTCAAAAGCTCGATGCTTGTCGATCAGCACATTTTGGATAGGAGCACGTTGCCAGCAGCGTTGGCTGAGCAGTACGCAATTTGTGATCCACCACCAAACCTAGATGCGTTGAATCAGTTCAGGTGAGCGAAAATTAGCCTGATTAGCTGAAAAATAGTTTGAAAAGGGCCCAAAATAGCCTAAAATCGGTCGAAAATCATAAAAAATTCTCTAATATCTTAGAAAACAGTTTTCTGTTTTAGAAGAATTTTGATTGAGAATTTTGACGCTGTTAAAGTTTTAAAAAATTACACAACCTTGATTTGAAAAACTCAAACAAAAAAAATTAAAATTTGCTACTTTGTGCCTGCCCGGCGGCTCTATTTTTCATCAATTAAGGCTTGTTTACAGTCAGAATTCCTAGATTTTCAACTTTAAAAACTCGAAAATTTCAATTTCCAGAGACTCCCCGACCCCAGCCCTGTTCCTTTACACAAATCCCTCATTCTTCTTCGATTTATGGAAAAAAGAGACTCTGAAAGACGTGGCAGAGCGGCCAAGAAGAGTAAAAAGTCCGAATGACGGCTCAAAAAGCCCCAAAAAACGGAGAAAGCAGCCGCAAGGAACTGGTCCACTGGGCACTACGATGTACAATGATATGCCGAATAGAAATCGACAAATCAGTGGATCACGGATCAATCAGCAGAATGAGGTGTTCTCGTTTCCGGAAGAGTATCAGGCACCGCAGGCACTTGGGTTACAATTAAATTTTAAGAATCAGAATTCGGTAAGGATGGTTTTTTTAGAGGAGTGCTTGATTTCGGCATGTTCTTGCCCAAAAATTATATTTTATTGACCACATTTTCCAGCATCCCGCGAATCTATCTATGGTGGCACCACTGGGAATGACAATGCACCATCATCCCCAACAAAATGTTCATCCGAATCAACAAAGATCCACTGGTCTCCCGCCACCACCACACAGAGCGTCTCCGATCATTAAACGGCCCATGGATCCACCTCCATTCACCGGTGGATCCTCGACCCTTGATCATCTTCCACCTCCAGATATGTCGATTCTATCGATTGACGATGAGGATGATGATCTTCCACCACCACCACCGTCTCTTCTGATGCAACAATCGATTGTTCATCAACTGCCGACCGAGGCGCCGTCGACGATGCAATTCGTGGAGCCCAGTGCTGCGCCGCCAACAAATGTAAGATTTTTAATCGAAAAATTGCTGAAAAATCAGCCTGAAAGTGAAAGGAACGTCAGAATGATGCTAAAAGTCCTATTATAGCTCAAAAATAGGATAAAAATCGTGATTTTCAGAACGAAATTTGTCTAAAAATCATGATTTTTAGGTTAAAAATAAGCTTGAAATCATGATTTTAAAGTTAAAATCACTCTCAAAATCGTTATTTTCAGTGTAAAAATAGGCCAAAAATCGTGATTTTCAGACCAAAAAAATCAGCTAAACCGATTCTCCCTATGTTCCTCTCACCCTTGTCCATATCTATACCCTCTTCCAAAATCCCCTTTCAGATTCCTCCACCACCTCCACCACCGCCTCCGATGCCCATCAGCACCGCCGCCGCGTCGTTTGCTGCTCCAGCGCCAAAGGTACCCCAGCCAGACAACCTATATGTGTCCTTTAACATTTCCTTTGTTGGCTTTTTCGGTAGATTCGGGATTTAGAAATCCCTGAATCTCGATTTTTTTACATATTTGGACCAAAAAGTATCCCAAAAAGATCCCAAAAAGCTATAAAAAACTATTCCAGGACGGTGAGCCCTCATCATCAGCTCCAGCCCAGCCAAAACCACTCGATGGGCATGGTGACCTTATGGCGCAAATTCAATCAGGCTACAAACTACGAAAAGTGCAAAGAGCCGAAGACGAAGCTGCTGATAAGGCTGCTCTGGAGGCTAACGACGTCGCAGCGATTCTGAAGAGACGAATGGATCAAGTGATGGGAAATGATTCGAGTAGTGAAGAAGCGGATGACGATGATAATGAATGGGATGATTAAAATCTTGATTTTCGGATTTTCGTACTTTTTATGCTTGATTTTGAAGGAAAATAAGGAAATTCGTGAAATTTTCTACTGCTTGGGAGTAGTAAAATGTAAATTTGCTACTGGCAATCTCAATTTTACTACTGATTAGCAGTACCAAAATCCATACTTGTAATCTGAGCCTTTGCCGGACCCTGCCTTAACTTCTTTAGAATCAATGTTTTCGAACCAACTCAATCAGATATGAGCAAAAGGAACAAAAAAAAACAGGCCACTTTATGATCTGTAACTTTGTTCATAGATAAGGTACAATATTTCAAATAATACCGTTTTGTAGTACTCGTGAAGCTCTATCATACCTGATTTAGCTAGTTTGAAAATATCGATTCTGAAAGAAATTATGGCAGGGCCCGCCAAGGCCCGGATTACAAGTATGCAAAAATCATTTTTTGCTACTGCCTTTACTACGTTTGCATCATTTTTATTGAATTTTTCAAAGAATTTCCTCTTTTTCCTTCATTTTCTCTATTTATCAAAATTCTCTCATGTGCTCCAAGCCCACATCGATTTAATTAGAAACTCAATGCCCTTTGTTCCTTTTCCCCCTCCTCTTCCCCATTTCCTCCCAAATTGTACCCTATTTCTGTCCACCCGCATAATTATTCATTCTAGAATCCATTCTTTGCAATTGATCCATAAATTAACGAGTGTAAATATGTTCTTCCATTGATGCCTTAATTTCTCGCCAATTTTCCTTTATAATGTGCATTTTTTGCTTCATCCTGAGCCAAATTTTGAATTTCCCCGGCCTTTTTTTCTTTCCTACTGGTTTTAAATATGTAATTTCTCAATAAACTACACAGCTTTCTAAATATTTGCAATTTCTGAGGTAGCCCCGCCCCCATCGAGTCTGACTATTTCGCAATTTTCGCAAACAAATTGAGTCATCTGATTTTTTTGAGATAGTGAAATTCTTTTTTTTTCTGTTTTTTCTGAATTTCTTTTCAAAAAATGCACATTTTTGTACTGCCCAGCAGTAGCAAATTTGGATTATACTAGTGCTAAGCAGTACCAAAATGCCTTTTGGCACCTGCCAAGCAGTAGTAATTCAAAATTTCGCTTCATGGCTTGAAATAGCTGAAAACTGGCTTGACAAATACCCAAAATGGGCTAAAAACGGCCTAAAATCATCAAAAGTTCTCGGAAACCTGATTGTTTCATTTTTAACAAATTTCGATTATTTTATATCATTTTTAGCCAATTTTGGATCGCTTTCAGGTCATTTTCAGTAAAATTTTCATTAAATTCGTTTAAAGAAACGCAATTTCAATTTTAAAAGCCTAAAAATTGAAATTTGACACTGCTTGGCAGTAGTCAAATTCAAGTTTGCTACTGCTTAGCAGGTGCAAAAAGTGGTTTTGGTACTGCTAAGCAGTATCAAAGTTTGATTTTAATACTGCTTAGCAATAGAAAAATTGCGATTTTTCCCCCTTTAAGCTAATTTCTATGCACTTTCAGACATTAAAAAAATGTTCGCCAGTAGAAAATTAGTAGAAACGGCGCTTGGCGAAGTGAAAAAGAAGTTTGTACGGGTCGTTTCGGCGAAACTCCCTGCCGATGGAATGGAATACGATTTGGTTCAGTACAGGTGTAAAAATGTGAGTTTTTAAGTCTAATTTTCCCAAAATTTATCTGAAAATTCCAGCTTTTTGACAACACTGTGATCGGTGGAAAATACTCGCGAGCATCGCTTTGCGTCGACACGATACGAGCTCTTCAGCCGCATTTGCGCGAAGAAACCCAGGAATTACAGGCGGTGTGTGAGGCGGCGGCGACGCTGGAAATTGTGAGTTTTTTTGAGATGGGAAATGGTGAACATTGGTGAAAATGACTAAAAATTGGTGAAAAATAAGCCAAAAGTAGTGAAAAATGTGAAAAAATGAGTGAAAAATGAAAAAAAAGATGATTTTGGTACTGCTTGGCAGTAGCAAATTTCAATTTTACTACTGCTGAGCATGTGCAAAAACTGGTTTTG